TCTGAGGTGGATTTAGAGCCTTGTTCTTACAGCTGGCTTAACAGCAATTGAAATAAAACTTCTGTTTGAGCACAAGTTGTCCTTGAGCCAGGAGTAGAATCTCTTCTGTTTCTACTTTAAAGGATTCAAGATTAAAAACCACATTATAGTTCTAAAATGTCCTTTCATACACTAATGACAGTTGAAGCTTATGAGCCAGAAGAACATTTTAATATAATTGACACTTTGTAACTGATCAGCCTCATTTACTTTCTGCTCTTTTTGCAATCGAACAACCAGCCCTCACAACTTCTACGTTTAGAGCAACTTTCCATTTTTCACTCTCACCTACTGATAATAACATGGCATGACTGAGCATTGTGTAAAACAAAAGGGCAATGACAAAATACTCCCGTAGCTTCAATGGTTTTACTTCACAGACAGATTTCTTTCGATTTTACAAACAAGCACTGTAGCCTCTGTGCAGCCATTCTAAAATAACATAGACCTGCCTAATGGCTGATTTTTAGGAATCACCCTAAAAGGCAGGTCACCTTCAAGGAAGAGAATACATGGGATTATCTTCTTTGTAGTTTTAAATCATAGAATGGTTTGAGTTGGAAGTAACTCTTAAAGGTCACTTAATTCAACAGCCCTGCAATAAGCAAGGACATCTGCAACCAGGCCAGGTTGCTCAGAGCCACATACAACCTGCCCTTGAATGTTTCCAGGGATGGGGCATCTACCATCTCTCTGGGCAACCTGTGCCAGTGTTTCACCACCCTCATCATAAAAAAGTTTATTCTGTATATCTAGTCTAAATTTACCCTGCTTGACTTGAAAATCCCCCTTCTCCTGTTACCATAGACCCTACTAAAAAGTCTGTTCCCATCTGGAACAGGCTGCTCAGGGAAGTGGTCGAGTCACCATCTCTGGAGATTTTTAAAACACATGTAGATGTGGTGCTCAGGGTTCAGTGGTGGCCTTGGCAGTGTTAGGTTAGTGGCAGAACTCAATCTTAAAGGTCTTTTCCACCCAAAATGATTGATGATGTTTGTTATGGGCCCCTTTAAATATTGAAAGGCCACAACAAGGTCTCCCTGAGCCTTCTCTTCTCCAGGCTGAACAACTCCAAGTTCCCTCATAGAAGAGGTTCTCCAGCCCTCTGATCATTTTTGTGGCCCTTATCTGGACTTACTCCAACAGCTCCATGTCTTTCCTGTGCTGAGGACCCCAGAGCTGGACACAGCACTGCAGGCGGGATCTCATCAGAGCAGAGCAGAGGGGCAGAATCACCTCTGTCGACCTGCTGGTCATACTTCTTCAGACTGGAAACTTATCTTAGATGCAGCAGATGCATCTCTGGACCCTCAAGGCCTGATCCAGTGTCCTGGAACATGCTGTTGAATGGCTGTAGGACAACTGCTCTGCTTGCACAGGTTGGCACACAGATGCAGCAGATTGCCAGATGCCCTTTTGGAAATGGATGAGCTGAAGGCCATTTTCCCAGTGGGGATTTTCTCAAAACAACTCTGATATTTTTCCAGCTTCTCCATAATGGGTGTGAGAAAGGAGGGGGTGTCTCAGCCTGCCCTTCGGTGGTCTGCAGCTGTGTTCCTGCTCCCCACAGCAAGGGGCAGGCTCTGCTCCGGGCTAAAGAGAAATGCTGGTCAAGCCCAGCTTGGGGAAATCGTTCTCTGGCTGCCCCTTTCCTGCTCCACTGGCTGAGCCAAACCCCCTTCCTCTTGCACACCACAGATGGCTAATTAGGGTCATGGAGTGAGGAAACCTGCTCTGTGGCCTTCTGTGCCAGGAAACAGGCTCTTCGTTATGCAAATGAGACCCATTGCTGCCTAATTCTGCCCTTGCAGCCTGCAAATACAGGCAAAGGGAGGGAGCTTGCAGGTTGCACCCAGAGAACAGCACAGCACCCCCGGAGGACAGCACAGCACCCTTGCAGGATGGCACCATCCTGCTCTGGGAGACTGGGAATCTTGATTTGGCAGATGGATAAAAAGGGGCATAACAAAGAAGGGAATTATGTTTAGGAGAAGGAAAGATGGATTTTGAAGTTCTTTTCATGCCCACTGAAATCTTCTTTGAATCCTCCCCATACTGACTTACCATTAATACCAATACCATTAGTATTGTTACTAATTAGGTACTAATACCATTAGTACTGTTTAACTTCAAGGCCCTGTCATTACCTCTCACCCTTAAAATTGCCTCTTGCTGCTTGACTGTCCTAATTGCAATGTGAGTTACCTCTCAGCATAAATTCACCCAATTCCTTTGACTCTGTGAGACCTTAAAAATCTGTGGCTAACAGAAGGATCCACAGATCTGAGAGGCCTGGGGAACTATGCCAGGTACCCTGTGTCACACACAGGCCACAAAATCTCACTTTGAAATTTCTGACACAAGGAGAAATACTAGTATTTCCTTTTTTACTAACAGAGGCTTTAAAAACATCATCATATAGGATTTCAGCTGTTTATTGTTCTTTCTGTTCTTTCTGCTTGCTGAACAAAACCTGGTCTTCATCTCAGTGCAGCAGTGATTTGCAAGTAATAAAACCAGAATCAATTTAGAAGGGCAACAGAGGGAGTTCTTTTTAAATTGTATAACTGCATTTTGGTTTGTACTTCCCTGTAAACCTTAGGGTGTTTTGTAGAAACACTGCAAAATTGTTAACATTTCATCTATATGAAAAACTTTTTTCTCTGTATAAATACGTAATCTTTCTTGCTAAGAACATTTTTATGGAAAAAAAGAACCTACCAAAGCAATTGCCCTCTCATGAAATTTTTACTTTGGTAAATTATCTTTCTTTTTAGGGAGCCTCTAAATAAAACCTGCACTTGCAGTGACCTTGACCAGAACCAGGTGATTAATATAAACAGGGTCCTTGACCAGTTTGATACTTTCAATTTAATTTTGGCAATGTCTGCACACCACTTGGCATGGTTTACTTTGCAGCCTTCTCGCTTGATGCTTGGGAAAATGGATAGTCTTACCTGTGGCCAAGATCCTGTATTTAATAAAGAAATAAGATCAGAGTATCATAGGAAGATTGAGGTTGGAAGGGACCTATGGAGGTCATGTGGTCAAACCGCCTGCTCAAGCAGGGCCACCCAAAGCTGGTTGCTCAGGACTGTGTCCAGACAGCTTTTCAATATCTCCAAGTATAGAGAATATACAACCTCCCTGGGCAACCTGTGTGAGTGCTCAGCCATCCCCATAGTTAAAAACTGTTTCCTGATGTTTAGAGGGAACCTCCTGTGTTTCATTTTGCGTCCACTGCCTTTTGTCCTGTCTCTGGGCACCACTGAAAAGAGCCTGGTTCTGGCCCCTTTGCACCCTTCCTTTAGGGATTTGTACACATTTATAAGATCCCCCTGAGTCTTCTCTTCTCCAGGTTGAACAGTCCCAACTTTTTCAGCATTTCCTCATAGGAGAGATGTTCCAAACCCTTAATCATTTTCATGGTCTTTCACTGGACTCTCTCCAGTATGTCCATGTGTCTCTTGTACTGAAGAGCCCAGAACTGGATACAGTACTCTGGGTGGGATCTCATGTGAGAAGAGTAAAGGGAAAGGATGAACTCCCTCAACCTGCTGCTAACACTACTTCTAACACAGCCCAGGATACCATTTGCTTTCTTTGCTCCAAGGGCACTGTGCGGGTTCATGTTCAACTTGGTGTCCACCAAGGTCCTTTCCAGCTGGGTGGCCCCCAGCATATACTGGTGCTTGGGGTTGTTCCTCCTTATGTGCAGGACTTGTACTTCTCCTTGTTGAACTTCATGAGCTTCCTGTTGGCCCATTTCTCCAGCCTGTTGAGTTCTGGATGGCAGCAAGACCCTTCGGTCTATCAGCCACTCCTCCCTGTTTTGTGTCATCCAGTTTATGACTGCATAAAATCCATTTTAGGTAGCAGTGGGTGGCTTAACAAACTTCATTCATTAAGTCCAGGAAGCACAGCAAACAGCTCTAATATTGACAGGCTCAGGTCCAACAGCAAAAGCTGGGTACCCACTGCCTGACCTGAATCAGCGTGGGCAGCTGGTTGAGAGGGCTGTCCTTCAACACTGGGCTGCCTGTCTGCATGCATATGCAATACAGGCAGTTCCCAACCAACAGGATGAAATATGTGTGTGTGTTGATGCAATGCACTTGTTTAATGTTTGCTTACAGTGCCTGAGCTAAACACAGATGGCAGGGTTTGCTACTGCCTCTGCAGCAGGGCCCTGCAGGCATCGCACTGCCTCAGCTCCTTGCTCAGCCCCCACGGGCAACCATCCAAAGGCACCACTGTAACATCCTTGTAATTATCCAGAACTTCAGGCAGTGGGAATGGCAACCCAGCTACAAAAGTTTTTAACACGGGGTTGTCCTTTTTACAGAATTTCCTAAGCACAGATGGCTCCTCACCACGATGCACTGAGTCCTCTCTCAGCTGAGCCTGCAAGATGGTCTATGATGGAGCAATTGCTGTTTAACCTCCATCCATCTTCCACACTTCAGGTTTCATTTGTTTGATTGAGTCTTTAAACTTCTTTTTTTTCACTCCCAACCCCACACCAGGCACACACACAGCTCACAGGTGCAGCTTTCCAATGCTTGCCTTGCCAGGGTCGGTTTTGCCAGCTGCAGCTGGATGCCTGATTACACAGGCAGGAATTCCCATCTCAGCACCCACAATGCATCCAACAGCTGTCTTGCTCTCTCAGAATGCTCTGATTTCAATGTAAATGGTTTAAAATAGCTTCTTCCCCCTCACACCTACCCTTTGACTTCATGGTGATATAATCAGGTCACGATAAACCAGAGCATGGTTGTGCTCAACTCTACCTTCAAGAACAAATATTTGGCAAGGACAAAAGCTGCAGGCATGTTCAACGTGCTTCAGGCTTGGAAAATCTGGCCATTTAATTCAGATGTCTCAAATACTAACTTAACAGCCAAATTTAAACAAACTTCAACATTGAAAATCTTATTGTAGCAAAATATCTTCTGAAGATGGAAAGTCACGGCAATCCAGAGTGTGATTTGGGTGTGAAAAAGCTGAGTCAAGCAGTTGTAGGTTTGTTTGAGGCTGGATGAAGGGGTTGTTACTACTGTGGTTAAAACTCCTGTTTCCCAGAGGCATGTGAAAATGCCAGAATTGCAGATTCCACTTTAAAGAGTCCTTGGGCTTGTAAAAGAGTCTGAAAACTTACCTGGGAGTAACTAGTAATTCACTAACATGTGCCTATGGCCCTGTGCAGCTTCTAGAAGGGAGGAGACAAAAAGTGCCCTTTAGCAAGAAGGGAACAGATCCTTCAGGATCTGCTATCAAGTCAGTGTCCCACAGTTCACTCCTCTTCTGCTCTGCACTCTTTGTAGTGGATGAAGAGAATTATCCCATTGGTGTCCCACCAGATCAAGCTGCATCAATTGTGGGCAACTGTGGGGGAGAGGAGCAGTGGAGGCTTCTGGGCTCTGGAGGTGACCAATGCAACACATATCCCGTGCCCAAAGGCACCTCATCCTGCTGCTCTGACACCCTGGAGCTGATGTTGCACAAAGAGAGAGAGCAGGAACAAGCAGAGAATATTAAAGAGGTAGATTTTTAGCTAATAAAAGAAAGATGCCAAATTTGGCTGGCCTGAAAGCATCCTCCTGCTCCTGCCCCCCTCCTCCAAGATATTATTTGAGATAGCTACCAATTTCATAGCTACATTTTGAGATCCATGGCAATCATCCAAGGGTAGAAATCCCTCAGTGGGAAGACTAAGGAGAAGCATCGTCAGTGTTTCTGACACTGACCCGGATCTCTGCCCCAGCACTAACAATGGCACTGACAATGCTGTTAACTTCCAAGGAGCTCTTGGCTGTGCTCAGCAGGCAGCCTGCCTTCAGTGCTCCCTACAAGTGACAGCTTCACCTATATACAGTAGCCATGAGCACAGCAAGGGAGGTCAGATCCCAGCCTGTGTCCTTTTGGCAGAGCCCTCCTTTACGGCTCACTTGCCAGCAACAGTAACTGGTGTTTCACAACTTCCTTCTCTGCCACTAGCTCTATTGTAGGCAGACAAAAGGCTTTCTCTTGGCATGTGATGTTGGGAGACAGAAGGCACCACTTTTGCCAGTCTGTGAAACAGTGGTCTCAGCAGTAGGGAAAAAAATAGCTTTTCAGGCTGCTGAGTTTGCTGGCATCAGCAAATGTTGACTTACAGAACGAGACAGCTCCAGAACGCTGCGGGCTGATGGCAGCGATTTCTGCATCAGTTGTTTGGGTGCAGGAGTCCCACCTGGTACACAAAACATTTCCATCTCGGTGTCTTGTCCAGGGTGAATATTTTCCTTTCTAATTTTAAAACTGCTATTTATGCATGGATGTGTCTTGAGCGCTTTTCCCTCAATATCATTTTGCAACCTTGAGTCTATCCTTACACATGCACCTGGTGCCATGATCACTGCACAGGCAAGTAAGTCACAGCTGAGCAGACATGAGGTCTTGAACAAGGATCAAAATATCTATATCTATGAAAAATATATATTCATTGCCACAGGGAGAACTCTGGTACCTTGCAAACTCTACGCAACACAACTTAATCCTTTTATTGAAATGCTTTGGCAATTAAATACAAGTTTGTGTATTTTGTGCACAGTTTTATACCTCACTGCAAAATGTTACAGTTGTTTTTGATAGAAAATGCAGAATATCTTATCCAGATGTATCTGGGAAGAAAATAAAGGTAGACAGGAAGGTTTCAAGTAAGGTGTGTTTGGCCACATCCCCAGAGTTAATGCTTTGCTCTTTTATGAAGTGCTAGAAAATCTTAACAAGGTGGAAGTTGAGGAACAAGGAGGAAGTTAAGTGGACTTAACTTCTGCAATACAGCATATCTGAAAGTAACATTAGCTCTAAAGCAGGTCCTTGGTTCATTACTGATGCATAAGGAACAGTTCTTCTCCCAAGTTATCTTTACCAGCATGAAGACCGAATGTTATGATTTGGCTAATAATGAATTTCTACCCTCACCCCCCTCCAAAATGTGGCTATTAGAAGTCATGGGGTTGTGCTGCCATTGTCCTGGAGGTGGTGAGCAGCAGAAAGCTCACATAGTAGCTGATTGAGCACCATCTCAGGGCTGTGTTTGGCACAACACCTCCAGATGTGGCCAGGCCACCAGCATTTGGCCTGCTGTGAGACGGAGATCTCAGCCCTGACATCCAGCCATCACATCTGAAAGTGGAGGAAGATCTTTTCAGGAAGACGGCTGAAATAATAACTGATAATTAGGGAATAAAGAGAAGAAACCTGATGCACTTTGGTAATTCTATCTCACTTTGTTTTACTTGAGACTACCTAGAAAGGAAAGTTTTGTGTTACATGAAAGATTGCTTCCATAGTCCCATCCTCAGAGAGGAGAAAACTGCTTTTTTAAGTTCTTTTCAGTTCAATATGCTTGTGATCTTTTCTAGGCCCAGGTCAGCTTGAGAGATCTGAAAAGACTTGAAGACAGCAGAAGACTCCTACCCAGAAGAATAACCAACTGGAGATTTCAATTGCTGGGCTCCAACAGATAAATGAGTTGCTCACAGACCAACAGAATTACATCAATAGAGATTATAGTGTCAAGGCTCTGGATTTTCTGATGTCAAACAATAATGTCACTCCTGACATCTGTGAACTTCCTCTCCCATCTGCAAGACCAAAGTGCTGTCCCTAAAAATGCAACACTTTTCTCCCTCAAACAAGAACTGCAGAGGTGGCAGATAGACTCAAGCCTTCTGACTAAGGATAAGCCAACTGATTTGTAATATAGTGCACTAGTGTAAAATCTATTGAAAGTCTTTACCTGCTCATTAGAGCATTTCAACCACATTTGACAGTCTTTTTGTGTAGTTCTCCACTTCCTTTTTTAAAGCAGGTGTACCCAAATAACTTACAAATACGTATACATATACATATAGATATATATATATATACAGTTATCCATCCATTTTTCTGTCTACCTATGTTTGTGACAGGAAATAATGAAAATTCACTGCAAAATCAAAGAAGACAGGCTCAAGTCAGTGATGCCAGCATAGGTATCTAGAGTAATTTCAAACCCTCTTGGCTGAAACAAGCACTGTGGGCAGATGTGACACAGAACCTCCAGGAGATGCACATCCTTTCAGCCCATCTGGGAATCACACAGGGTATCCTAGGGCATTCCAAATGGCACTTGAGCTGTATGCTCTGTCAAGTGATGCAAGTCCAGGTTCTCCAGACAAGATGAAGCTCCCATGGTTCACATGTGAACTTTTAAGCATTTATTAATTAGTAACATATTAGAAGTTTATTTTTTACCATTTTTACCATTGTATTTAACCAACTGCAATGAGTCTTTTTTCTCCTGGTTTTTGATGAGCTACAGAAAGAACAGCATATTTTAAGGCCTTCCAATGTATGAATTAGCTTTTTTCCCAACTACTGCATCCTGTTTTAATTTGGTCTTCCAGCTAGAAGAAAGTAGGTCTTGCTTTTTCCAGCATGGGTCAAGTTACCAGAGGAAGGTTTCTTCCCTCCACTAAGAGACCTGCTGCCTGTCTCAGGCTTTGGGATCAGCTCAGATACTGCCTGTCAAGGCTGAAGCTGGTCACTCAAGACTGAGTATGCCATAACTGCTGCCACCCACATCTTTCATGGTATGAGGGTGCCTGGGCAGCACAACCCAGAATGGGAGACAGTATGTTCCTTCCTGGTGGGGCTAGAAGAGATTCTGCTCACTCACACAGGGAAAAAGAGGCACTTTTTTTGAGGTAGAAAGAAAATGGACAAGGCCTCTGCTTTCCTTTTATGATTTTCCAGTGCCTTAATTTTCTGTACTTAAAAACAAGTTCACAGGTTCTACTTGTACACATGTCGAATAATTCCTTTAAACAAACAGAATGTCCTGGAGTGGTGGAATTTCCTGGTTGTGTTGCCATCCATTGTATAAATCCCTAATTGCAAGGGATTTGAGGAACACCAAAACAAGAATAAGAGAGTCGAGACCTCAAATTCTATTTAAATCCACTGAAAACTTCAGTTTAGCAGAGTAAAATGAGGTGAAAAAGCCCTTGGATGTCTATAGATTTTGGCAAAGCATAAGAGATGTATTTAAAGTTAAGTTTAAAGAACTTAAGTTTTTATTTATAATAGCTTCAAGTGCACTAGACTGCATATTGGTGACAAACTGCTATAACAACAACAAGCAAAGACAATGCAGGTTTGTTCAATAGTTATCCCCAAACAGCAAAGATCTACAGATTACAGGAGAATCCCCACAAGGGAATGTCTATATCCATATAATCCATACTGACTCTCCAATCTATTATAAGATTACAGGCACAAGAGAAAATGCTTTAATTTTTTTCTTTGTGCCCTACTCTATCAGACTGGGTTGTTGGTTTTTTTTTGGAGGAGTCTTTCTTATTCAGACATGTGCAATGGACAGGTACAGGGACTCTGCCTCCTTTCTTCACTGCTAAGATGAAAGGCAAAAGCCTTCCAGAAAACCCAAGATGGAATTGTGGCCAAGGAGTTGCTTGTGGAAGTTGCAGCTGGAGCCAAATACCTCCATATAAGATTATAGGGTAGTGTGATTTCTGGCTGCTGCTGATCAGTGTTAGCAGCTAGTGCTAAAACTGCAAACGTCTGCTGGTCAGTGTTCTCCTTGTCCTGCCTGGGCCAAGACGACAGCACTCCCATATTGCTGATGGCTCTGCAGGCAGAGCCTCTTCCTTCCCCTGAGAGCAGCATGACATGCTTTAAAATAAACTCACCTGAAAACATACCTCATAAAAAGAAGAAAAAGCCCCTCACTATTTTTGCTAAAATTCAGTTTTCTGATAGAACTGCACTGGGAAGCAGACATGTCATGTTTTATCAGGAGACCTCATGTACCAGCAACAATCATCAGACTGGGAATGCACCACTGGAAACCCCTCTCCAACTCTAAGCCTAAACCTTAGCAGAGCTCAGATGCAGCTTGTGCAATGCGGCCAGAGAGATTTAAAGCTGCCTCACATAAATATATCTTGTGCTTGTAAATTACAAACTCTATTGGTGTTAGGCATGCTTAAAATCAATGGGAAACCTAATCTCTGCTCCAGTTTGGTATTGAATAACCACAGTGACTTAAATTCAAATACAGTAAATCAATAGAGCTCCGCAGCACTGGCATAAAAACACAGGTTAAAGGTACTTCTATCAGTGTAGCTTGTCCTAAGAAAAATAATTTTAGCAGGATTAATTTCTTTTTGCCCACGTTTCCCTCTGGGTATGGTTGGACAGTCCCAAGCAGGCAGGTTAGTTCCTTCAGTCATGTAGGAAAGGAAAAAACCTGAAGGAGAGGCTGGAAAACCAGAAGGCAGTAGACACTGCTGTGTCCTGCAAAGCTCAGCTGTCCCTCTGTGCATGTGCCCCTGTGCATAACTGGGCAAGAGAATTCTGACAGTTATCTACTAGGTTAAAATGAATTAACTGGAGCCACTTGCACCAGCAGTCTGAGGTTAAATTAAACCATCGTGGGACCTGGAGCAGATGGGATTCTGCCACAGCTTGTAGTGGAAATTTCTTATTGGG